CATTTTGATGGTTGATAGACTTTATGATTGATGTAAACACAATCTAATTATGACATCTGGTTTGGATATCTTACGTAAGTTGAAGTTATTTTTTGTTTAAGTTGATTTGAATATAGAACAGGGATGAACCGGGGTTGGGTCGGGGATAAGCCCAAAATTTAAAGGGGAGGGGATTAAATTCCCCGCATCCGTTGGGGATAGGGATGGGGATGGGGATGACGTTACGAACTCGGGGACGAGGACAGGGATGGTAAGCCCCGCCCCATTGTCATCCCTACTCTCATGTTTAACAATAATTGTTCTTGAAAGTCCCATGTTTAAGATTATTCCATTCAAGTTGTGATCCACCAAATCATTTCCACTCTTTATGTTGTAATGAAAAATTCTACTATTTTCAATTACATGGTTGTTTAGAGACTCCAAACTACTTGTTGCATCAAGACATATCTTTATTCGTTGACTTGTGGGAGTCCCACATGGAAGAAAGTAAGAAACAATAAAACCTTATGAGTGTAGTCTATACACCTTATTAGATGTATCAAGTAAGACAAAAAAGCATTTAGGCTAGAATTGTGGTGTTGGCTAATAATTGAGTCTTGATTATGCATTTTATTAATTATAAATAATAGTTAAAGATAGGGCTTTAGACCTTGAGGCTCTTGGGATCTTCTTGACTATATACTAAAAACATGGTCTAGCATATTGTTATTTTTAACTAGCAACAACATACTTTTTTAAGCGAATACAACATATTGTTATTTTTAACTCAAACATTAATTTTATTTTTAACATAAAACAATATATTATTCTTTATAACCGAAAAAAAACATACTTATATTTTTATTCAAAAAACATAATTATATATTTTTTTTAAAAACACTAATATATTGTTATGGGTAATATTTCTAGTTTTCTTTAATTATATCTAATATCTTGAATATGCACTAACAAGTTGAATGCTCTAACATTCTGAAATAGTCAACATCTTGGAACTGCCATCAGATTCTTTATTATTGATCTTTTCAAGACTAATAGCTTATCTAATGGAGCATGAACACGAGGTCAATGAGAAAATACGTTTAGCCTCCCCAGTCAAGCAAGAATAAGGTGAGATTGGAATATTTATGATAGTTTGTTATCTTATCTTTGTATATAAAAACATGTTGATCATTATTCATACACATACACTAAGTCACACTTTCAACTTATACGATGGGAAAGATGAAATCTGCCGCTGTAGAAGTAGAAACATAAATCTTGTTGAAGATCCCGTCATTTCTCACTTTCCACGCACACCAAACAAAAACTTAGATGTATTTCTCAAGGTTGCCTAAAGAAGTAGAAACATATATGTGGGGTCGGTGCCCAACGTCAGAAGTCTAATAGCCCAACAAGGCCCAAACCCTAAAGTCCAAAATATGGCCCAAACCAAGAAAGTCAACTGAAAGTTAATGTTGTTGAGTTCGCCCGAGATACTAAGTCTTACACCCTACATTCTACATCGGTTGCCAGTACGCACAACATACTAGCTGCGTACGCCCAGCGTACAACACAATTGACCAGACTTCACCATTAAGCACTTAATCGGTTAAGTCACTAAGCCAAACTCTCAAATCTGATCCCAAATGGTGACTTAACAACTAAAGTTGGCAACTTTATTCCCATGCATGACTTAATAGGACCCCCAAAACTCAAAAAGAACCATATTACGGATCCTAACGCATGAATGGACCGGTATAACTCATAAAGATTACATTTTTATGGTCAAGGGACCTCAAAGGTGCTAAGATCTAACATCCATGGCATCTGAAGTAGACTATACTCATAAATATGGTTTAAGGACGCAAAAATGCACAAATGAAGCACTAAATTGGATCTAACATAAGGAATCATCAAGTAGAGAACTTTATACCTCAAATAGCTTACAAAGATAATGTTGATTATGGATCTAAAAGATCAAGCCACTCTAAAGTAACCTCCAAGTGTCCTTCCTTCAAATCAACAAAACTCACTTCTAAGCTCAAACAAGCCACTCTAAAGTAACCTCCAAGTGTTCTTCTTCCTTCAAATAAACAAAACTCACTTCCAAGCTCAAAAATGACAAAAGGCACTTAGGGATTCATTCTTAGGGTTTAGGGGAGTGCAGGCTGACCAAAAGATATGACTAAGGCAACATAAGTTGCTTAAATAGGGCACAAACCCTAAAAATTAGGGGTTAACCTTTCTTAGCGTATGTTCCACATACTCCCACGTATGCCCAACATACGTGTCCGCCTATGCAACTATCAGAAGAGCCAATACGCCCAACGTAGTCATAGAGTACGCCCAACGTACTCGGCTAGGGACCAAATTGTAAAGAATTCACATAAAGGGTTAAAAAAGAACATACCACTAAATCTTGAATGTTACATTTGGTGGCATATGTAGCAAGATCAGGACATATGTTTGCATAGTGACCATTCTTTCGGAAAAAATTGGCAACATAGTGGGCGTCTCCCACGACCATCACCACTATAGAAGGCAACCCTCGAGTTTCCAGATTGGCCACAAGTGGATGGTTGGCTGTTGCGACGAGTTTGTGTAGTAAAGGGAGCAGGTGTCGGTGAGTTGGTCACTGAAGCAAGAAAGAGTTTATGGATTTTAGCTTGGCCATTAAATCGATCAGTGTAGGACGAGGACGGACGACTCTTTGTATCGTAGAAAAGGTTTCAAACGAGGAACCAAGGTCACGTAAAAACCAATGACTCTTATCATTATCACTGCAAGATTGCCGATAGCACATAATTGGTCGCATATAGCTTTGAACTTGCGTCCAATACTGCAACTATAGAGGTACCTTTTTTTAGTTGTCAAAAATCCCTTGAATGGTTTGCATGCATTCTTGAGAATCATAGCAATACACACACTCAAGGGCTGTCAAAATATCTTTGGCGGTTTGGAGACCTATGGTCTCATACATAGTTTCCTCAGAAAAAGAAGATTGCAAGGTGAGGTAAGCTTTTTGATCAACTTCTTTCCAGGTTGAGAAGGAACGATTGGAGGTAGATTTTCCCTCTAATTCAATGGTTGCAGTTGGAGGAAGAAGGGTACCTTCGACATAATCAATCAATTTCTGAAAAGAAAGAAGTGGTAATACATGATTACGCATAATAGATAGTTGGTTGAGTTGAGTTTAACCGTGAGCAGCGGAAGTATGGTGGCAAGAGGAAGAGAAGCCTATGATGTAGACATGATCGACGAGCATGGAAGAAAAGATCTATAGGGGCAGAAGAAGGAGACAAGGGGGAAACATTTAGGGTTGGACCATAATTATGGTTGATACCATATAAGAGTATTTTTCCCTTGAATATGTATCTTGTGTGTGTGTGTATTAGGGATGAGTAAAAGGACCGAACCGGTCGGAACCGGCCCGAACCGGACCGGAACCGGGAACCGGCTTCGGCCAAAATCAAGAACCGAACCGGCCCGGCGGTTCTATCGGTTCCGGTTCTACCGGTTCTTGTCGTGTCTTCAAATGTTGGAACCGGTCCTTGAAAAATAGCATGATACGGTTCCGGTTTTTGCCGGTTCTACCGGTTCCGGTTATATCGGTTCCGGTTCCTACCGGTTCCCGGTTCCAAAAATCCACAAAAATAACGTCCCGGTCCCGGCCCGACCGGTTCCATCGGGTTCTGGTTCCGGTGCCGGTTCCGGTTCCGGTACCGATTCCAGCCGGTTCCCCGGTCCATTTGCTCATCCCTAGTGTGTGTGTGTATATATATATATATATATATATATATATATATATATATATATATATATATATATATATATATATATATATATATATACACACACACACACACACACATAGATAAGGTAAGAAACTAGCCTAACATATATGGAGATACAAGAAATCTTTTCTAATTATTCTAAATTATCTCTAATACGAAGTCATTAATAGATCCACAAGGTCATAAGAAGTACTTAATAAATTGATAATGATAACTGTTGAGAACGCTATATTAGATAGTATTGATTATAAACAATTGAAGAACTTTGTTGCTAAGAATGCTTGGAGATCCTTGATATTCATGTAACTATATAAGATTATTTATGGTACTGTGATTCATTTGTTTTGATTATTTTATACTCCTTTGTTCAAAAATTATTGTTCATAGACAAAAACACACACAAATTAAGAAACATTAATTACCATTAATTTATTAAATGAAATGATAGTTTTACCTTTTTGTTGCATTTAATTTCATGGTATGTTAACTAATAATGATGGGTATTTTAGTAAAAGGGATATTTATTTTTAGAAATAGACTATTATTTTGGGACAAACCAAAAATAAAACATAAACTATTAATATGGGACGAAGGGAGTAATAATTATCGACTTATCGTACGATTAATGAATTTTGCTTACACTGTGTACATAGTAACCTCACTACAAAACACTCCCTTATCCTACACTCAACTATATTGAAGAAAAAAGAAGATTACACTTGAAGAACTTTTCTCTAAAACACTAAACAACAAAGAATCCTTATGAATGAGAGAGCTAGAGAGAGAAAATAGATATGTAGTGTGTTGTATCTTGTTGTTATGACTGAACAACACACACACACATACAATCTAATTTATACATCGGGTAGAGATTCGGGGCATGGACCAAAGTAAACACGCATCATAAGCAATTGGGTAAAACCTGTTTGTCCTACAACCTAGAAGTTTGTAATAAACGAGCTGAAACCCAAAAGTTCTGAACATATGATGCATTAAGTCCCTCTCAACAATTCTCATACAAAGGCACTCCCAATATATCTATAAACTAAACCTCCAAGAAATACAAACATTTCAGACTTGATATGTATGTATTCTCAATAAGAAGTTTGTAAGTATAATAAAATATTTCAACAAGTAGATTTCTCTACCGATGCAGATTGATTGATAGTCCTCTGTAAATTGTTCTCCTTGGACATTGGTCTTTGTTTTTTTCTTTATAGTTAGCTTGGTCATTCTAATATATATATATATATATATATATATATATATATATATATATATATATATATATATATATATACATACCTGGAGGGTGTAAAAAAGTATCAACGAAGGTGTAATATAGTAATTTCCGTCATGTTTTTGCTAAATTGTGGGTCTTCTTTAGGCAAACCAGAGGAAGAGGCAATGGCATGATCCTTTTGTGAGTCATGAGTTGGATCGGTTGAAGTTGGGAGGGTGTCGGGTTCACTTCCCAGCATCAAGATCACATTTGACAATGGCATGTTTTGCTCATATTGTTGGACTCAAGTTCAATCCTACGTCTGTCCTCTGAGATGAAACCAAAAATAGGTGATGGTAAGCCTTAGTATATAAATATACAAAGAAAACATTTTTAAAGGAAAAAAAATGTGTTTATCTACAGGATTTGTAATAACTTACTTGCTATTCTATTCACCAATCTGGTATAAGAAATATACACAACCACACACAAGATTGTAACCCCCAAAACAGAAAGACCAACAACGAGAGGAACAACAAGTTTTTGAAATTCTGATCGCCCTTTGACTTGATGCCCTGAATATAAGTTTTCGTTAAAAATAAATAAATAAACTATTTACAAGATTTTTTTACGCCGACTCATGCAGTTAATAAAACTTACTAAATAATCAACCACAAAACGTGACTAAAGGGCTATCAGATATTTTGCTTGATTTAGAAATGAAACGTGTATAATTTCCTATGTTTTCTTAACAAACTCATCAGCTCTTAATTTTATAAACATGATCATCTCTCATTAATTTCTTTTTATATATCATTCTTCTGCAAATTAATGCAAATTCTGTGAAAGGTACAATCGGTTCACAACTGTTGCAAGTTAAATTGATAGATATTAAGAAGTACCTGCAGAAACACGGATGGAGATATTATGTCTGCCCTATGCTTCAAGATTATGAAGCTGAGAATGTCAGAACCAACAACCTTGGGTATCATGGCGGCTTTCATCCGTTAGTTGTTCCTCTTGCTAAGATGTATAAGCATATGCTACACACTCATGACATTTCTCTATGCATACAGACTTGTTATTTGATTTTTGGAAGGTCACATATGTAACACCAACACTAATCATAGTAAGATTCACGAATGTATCTGTAGTATTCTCACATATTTCAGATTTTCTCTTGCATCCAACCTTATGATCCCTATGTAAAGCACGCTGAAATCCAATCAAACAACTACTACACAATGGTTGATGATCATTTGTTTGGTTGCATATCCGAAATGACCCACACACACGGTATTCGCTACAACAATCTCTAGGCGCTTCCCATTCCAAAACCCATTGTTTACTCGCTTTTCGCCAACTAAAATATTGTAAATGGCCTGTGTAGTTCATTACCAACCTTGAGTAAGGATTGGTCACAATATAAGTTATGTTATAAGTTGTAATTACATGTTGATCTCCTGTGGTTGTGTTTGATAGCAAACTCACAGCCTCGGGGAACATTTTGCTGTCATCAAAGCCGTTCTTTGGGTTTCTGCTTTTCCAATGATATGTTGTATCTTTCATAATAACGAAGTATTGGTTGCCTCTTTCATCTTGCCGAAATAGGTAGCTTCCAGTTCCTGGATCATTGAGACTTTTCCATAATGTCACCGTTAAACTTTTGTCCAACTTCATTCCAGTATCTGTTGTTGTTTGTTTTTTCTAAGAAACCACTTCAAACCACTTATTGTTGCGCAGCGCAGCACACACGCAACACTTGACTCTTCATAGCTGTTTGTTTTTCAGAAGACTTCTTACTTAAAAACCGTTGCGTGTGTGCTGCATGGCACAACACTAAGCCAACGGTTTCAAACCTCTTTACACCTTACTTTAACTTACTGTAGCAATATGCAGACGTTAAAAAACAAACATATTTTTTATTAAATGGTGCAGCCGTTTGGTCCACCTCTTCTGCTACAGAGGGTTGCAGAGGTGATCCGCAGATTTCAGACATTTTCGCTTCGAAAAAACAAACAACACCTTGGTGTTTTAAAACTCTGCCATAATGTTTTTCGTGCTGCATCCTCGATAAACTTAACATTTCCGGTACCAAACAGCTTCAAGGTCCTTGAACCAGTTCCTTCTGAAAACACCATAATGTAAACAATTCGTCATTTTTCCATGAAAATTGAAGGCATTATTAGTAACTTGGCATCACGGGATTTATGAACAAATATTTGCACTTAATGCATGATGGCTTTTTTAAAAGGCAATAAGCTTAAGTGAAGTCTCAAACTATGCTTTTTTATCTTTTTGGTCCTTCATTTGACTAAATACAAATATTCACCAAATTTATGAACAAATATTTATTTTTATTTTTATAAAAATAAGTATATTTGTATAATAAAAAATAAAGATAAATCTCGAAATAACATCACATACAAATTAAAAATAGATAAATTGATGTTTTTTATACTTCAATTTTTTAAATATAAAATTGAAAGCGAAAATATTCAATGATGTATTGTAGTTTGAATATTTTAGATAAAGTTTATAAAAAAAATTATTTTTATATTAAATAAAATAAATTTGCATTATGATTAAAATATTGTCATTTTCATGCATTCTTGCTAATTATTATTTATTTTTGTTCTCACACATTGTTTTTCAGTCATTTTCATTCAAACAGAATACGACCCAATAATAATTCTGACAAACATTTTGACAGAAATAAAATTAATAATAATAAGTGTATAATAACCTTATATACGATTTAATTAGTAAGAATATGTGTTAATGACAATATTTATGTAAGATTGAACGTATTATATTATCAAACAATATACCCATTTTTTATAATAAAATAGTTAATTATAAAATAATGATGGATTGATGTTTTTATAATATACAAATCATTTTCATTTTTTAAATCTATTTAATAAGACAATTTATTAAAACTATGTTATAAAATATTATAAAGTATTAATAATATATTCTTTGTGACATTTTATTCGTTTATTTTAAAGTGGTGTTCCAATTTTTTTTAACAATTTTTAATGTTTTATTTAAAGTATTTTTTAATGTTTTATTATTGTTTCTTCATGTCTAACTAATTTATTTTAAAAAATGTATTCTTGTTTGTATAATTAATTTTCTGTAAGAGTGGATTTTTTTTTTTTTTTAAAATCTTTGACGTTTTGTTTGAATATATTGTTTAATGTTTCTTGTTGTTTTGTTCGAAGATATTGTTTACTATATATATTCGAACAAACGTTTAAAATTAAAATAAATATCCGAAATCATAAAGATAAATATAATAATAGTTAGAATTAAATAACATATCATGACAAGCTAATATTTCTAATCAGATAAATATGTTGATTTTTTAAAACTTATTCTTGTTTGTACATTTGTATAACTAAAAAACAAGCAAAATGTAAAACAAAACATTATTTATTTATCTTTGTTTGTATAGTTTATAAAATCTTTTCCAATGGCGATTTTTTAAAATGTTTATCGTTTTGTTGTTTTAATGTGTGTATGTGTGTGTATATATATATATATATATATATATATATATATATATATATATATATATGAAAAAATATATAGCATGTGCATCATTTGCATATCATTTGGAAAAAATTTGATCCAAATTGATCTAGTAGATGATCACTAACTATTTTAAGATCATTAGGATCACTTTTTTTTAAACCTTGTTTTAGATCGTATCTTATATAAAAATAAATAAATAAAAATATGTAAATTCATCATATTTTAAGCTCTGACACATTGATATTCAATTATATATATATATATATATATATATATATATATATATATATATATATATATATATATATATATATATATATACATAACATGTGTATCATATGCATAAGATTTGGAAAAATGTTTTTTTTAACTTATCTTATATAAACAAATAACTAAAAATATATAAATTCATCATTTTTTAAGTCTATCCATACTGGTATTCGATATTCTTACATACCATTATGCACATCATTAGAAAAATATATTTTTTTAATTTTTTTCTCAACTAATCACCTTCTTTAGCAAGGTCTTAACTTATTAAAATGTTTTTGATCCGTACATTAATGTGCACATATACATATTTGCATATATGTATATTTTAATATGTGTATATTTGCGTATGGTGCACAATTTACTTAAATTTTTTTCAAATATTAATATAGAAAGATGTTAAAAAAATATTGAATTTAAATATTTTTAATTATTTTTTTATGATACGAGATAAACTCAAAAACAATGTGTAAAAAATTATGCACATTTGAGTTTGTGCATATATGCATATTTTTCAAATTTTTATAGATAGTTTTTTAAAACATCTTAATTTGCTAAGACGTTACTATAGAAGGTAATTCGTTGAAAAAAAAAATTTAATGTTTTTTTTTCAATAGAAATGTGCATATGGTGCATACTTTTCATACAAAAAATTATTTTATTTTTCAAATATTAATATGGAAAGAGGATGAAAAATAATGAATTAACATATCTTTAGATATTCTCTAGGATATAAAACTTTAAAATGATGGTTGAAAAAATTATCCTCTCTCTCTCTCTCTCTCTCTCTCTCTCTCTCTCTCTCTCTCTCTCTCTCAATATATATATATATATATATATATATATATATATATATATATATATATATATACCAAAAAGTATTAGGAATCATAAGAACAACTTCTAATTAATTTTTAATTAAGAGTATATTTGTCATTTTTCAAATACATATTTATAAATATTAAAAATGACAGTTTTGTCTAACAATTACTAGAAAAAAATGACATTAATTAAAATTAATTGTGACATTTATAATCACTAACCAAAACTACAAAAATCAAAAAACTATTTTAGACCTACCATCGCTCATCGCCCTCCGGCGCCTTACTACGAGAGTTGGCGTTCCTCCCTTACTCTCTGGCCGCTTACCGGTCGCCGGAGAAGAAGCAACTTTGATGCGAGAGACTGAGGAGTTTCATTTTGGCTTACTAGTGTTTTTTTGTTAATGAGGTAGCAAATAAACGACTTGGATTCTGGAAAGAGATAAAGGTAATATTATACTATTTCTTTTTAATTTTTTTAGTTTTACTATGAATCGTATAACCTAGATAATGTTATACTATTTCTTTTTAAATTTGTGTATTAAAATTGTGATTTATTGTATTAAGCTATGAATTTTGTAAATTAAGTTGTGATATTTGCGTTTTAAATTGTAACTGAATGCATTAAACTGTGGATTTTATGTTTAAATAGTAAACAGACTATATTAAGTTGTGAACTGTATATATTAAACTATTAATTTATTATATTATGTTGTGAATTTTGTATATTAGACTGTGAAATGAATATATTAAACTATGAATTGACTGTATTAAACTGTATATTTTTTATGAATTTTGTGTTTATATCTTAAATATGATATAAATAAAGCATTTATATGTAGATACGATTTTCTATAATTTTGAGTAAAGTGTGTAAAGTTTAAATTGTGAATATTGTGTAAATTAAACTTTGAAAGAAACACTATCCTCCATATTTAAAGGTGTATGTGAATGTATAATTTTTGTGTATTAAACAGTGAATTTGTTATATTAAGTTGTGAATTTCATGTACTAAACTGTGAAATGGATGTATTAAGTTTAACAAAACTGCAAATTTGGTCCTCATAGTTAGCAGAAAACTGCAGATGGAATTTCTTAAAAGACATGTTCAAATTTTCTTAAAAGACAACCTGTCTGACATTTTTTTACAAGATGGTGCTATTTGATGTTAGTTACTCTCTAGGCATGTGCAAATGTTCTTAAAAGAGAACCCATTATGGTGCTATTTGATTCTGAGTTCAGTTACTTACACCCAAAATCTATGATTTCATTATGTGTGTGTGTGTCTGAGTTTGATGCGAAGACATGCCAAACAAAGAGTCGTCGTTATGATTATCAAGCTTACCGGGAGGGGGGGGGGGGGGTTACTGAATGTAGGGGTTGTCTTTTTTTTTGAAAATATTAAAATATATTTTAAAAAGTGTAAAAAGAAAATAGGAAGCGCATAATAGTCCTTTCAAGTTATTTTAATTTTATCAGGGACCAAAACCACAAAAAAGATTCAATTTTGGACTAATGGTGCAAGTCAGAAACTTTTTGGACTTCATCCATATTTTTTGGCAAACCACAGGACCAAATTTGCAGTTTAGTATTAATAGAATTTTGGCATATGGACATTTTCGTTTATAGAATGTATTTTTCTTATGCTTCTTATTAAGAAACATGTATATCTTCCAATATGATACAGATTTGAAATTTAAAAGTTATAACGTAGCCCAATAATCTATGTATCATCTTAAATCCTTAGATCTGCCCTTCATAGAAACAAATAACTCATACTGATTCACAAAGGTCAAGATGTTCGCTCTTTGGTTAATGGAAACAAATGTGTTTATGGCTAGTAATTAAATGAATTTAGATTCTTGAATTGAAGTTACTTTGCAACGATTGTATTCAATAAAAAAGCAAACTAATCAATTAACTTTCAAAGCAAGAAAATATTTCCTTCAAAAAAAACTCATTTGTTTGCATATTAGAACACAAATATAAAGGAACCTAACTGAAAAATGATGATGCATGGCATGAGATTGTGACGAAGTTGAAAAGATGTTGATGATAGAGTGTCCACTGATCCGGATGAAAAGATTCAGAACAATGCTTGTGATGACATTAAGTGTTTTGAAATAAAACAAATTGAAAAAAAAAAAAAAAAATGAGGATATTAGAGAAGGAACTGTCTTTCACGCTATGGTTAATGGTTATATTAAATTCAAGAAAAGGACAAGAACAGAAGTCACATGGTGTGTCAACAAAGGCTGTAGTACATTGTGTGTAAAAGAAGAGGACAAATCACGTGGGTCTGTAAAAAAAGGGAAAAAGTAACGTACTTTGAAAGAAAAGACAAAGTTGTAAACATAAATGTGTTTTGAAAAGTGATAACATGGAACCAAAACAAAGGCTTAAAGATTGTAGATTTTCATAAAGTTAAAAAATGTTAAAGTCCAGATTACGGGGGAGTGTTTGTTGAAAGGGTAATCTGGTTGTAAACAGATGTAAAACGTGTTCTTCATGATATAATAAAAGATCTAGTTTAGAGTACAAGTACCTCTTCTTCCTCCTTCATATATGTGTGAAGAAACTTTTCTCTTTTCTCGTTTTATATGTAGTATTTCTGCACATCTGTGTTGTTTTCTGGTTTGCTTCCAACAAATCATAGAAAACCAGATCAGAATCCATAACAATTATAAAACCCCCAAAAAGGTAAACAATTGAAGGATCTCAAGAACAAATTATCAAACAAAACACATTAAATGCATGGACTGTAATTTTACCTCAGGGTCAGGGGGTTCTTCTTTGTCAAGATCAGACGCCATGAGTGTTCCACCCAGTAATATTTCTGAATCTCACGTTTTCTCCTGCATATTATCCACTTAATTAACAAATCCAATTCGAGAAACGTGACTAAAGGAAGGAAATTGTGTAAAAGACGGATAATAATGAGTCATTACCATTAACAACAGCAGCTATTGAAGGTTTTCGGGAAATGAGGATTAAGAAATAGACGGAAAAAGAAGTAGAAAATAGAAGAAAGAAAGAGAAGGGTGCGAGAAAATCAGAGTTTCGGTTCAAGGACTAAGAGCCCTCAATTGCGAGGCGAGCTGTTAAGAATGATCGTGATCTACTGTTGAATGATGTTTCCTTTCTGCTCAATAGAAGTGGGGTCTGTCTATGCAAAATGGAAAGGAAGGGATTGATGATCTTGTTGTGATTTTGCTTCGTGGGTATTGTGGGTATTTATGGGCAGAAATGAAGTGAAGATCGCCATGTGAGGTCACTGATCCCTTTTGCTTTTGGGTACTGATACACTGAAAATAAAGGACACCTACTTCTTTTAACCAATAAAACCTAAAAAAATAATACGTGTTTTTTTTAGTCATTCATATAAAATACAAAATTATATTCTAATAATTTTATTCTTTATTTTATTTAATAAATTAATTCATAATTACTTACGATCGATAATATCTTAATTTCTTTTACATTTATTTTTTATATTTATATAAAGTTTTTAATATACCGACCGTGGTTTTCATGGGTGATAACCTCATCATAAATATGTCAAACTCGTTATATTTGAGAATTATAAATTTTATTTCAATTTATTAAATTATAGATATTTTTAAAAAATAACTATTATACCTCTTTTATTTTTTTTCTTTTTTTTTTCTCATCGAATACACCATCAATTTTCTTCTTTTAACATTTCTACCCCTCATTTTAATACTTATTTTTTTATATGGTATTTTTTACACCACCGAATCTATTTTTTTAAGAGATGATATAAAACACATTAATTTAATAAAACAATTAATTTTAAAAAAAAAAAAAAAATGTTATAAGCACATTAATTAAACAAATCTATTACAAATCAACCACTTAAAAAAAAAAATTTCAAAATAATGGATATCAAATCATAATAAAATGTTACCCAATAAAAATATTCAGATTAATATATATCAAATATTCTAATTACTACTTCTATTGTATATTTACTTGAAAAAGTTGGTTATGTATTTAATTTGGAAGTGGCATGTTATCAAACTTTATCATGTGTTCTTCCTTTTATCTGTGGTCACAATTTATCTCAATAGGAACCGCTATAAATCTCGAACAGATACTACATACCCTTTTAGGCATAATAAAAATTCTGTACACTCTTTAGTAATTCATCATATGATTCAAATTTGAAGTTAGATAAATAGAGCTATTGATTTTGTATCATAGAATTTGATTAATAATTCTTGTTGAGTTAATTTTAACACAATCAAACATCACATTAAGGAACAAGACACAAAAGTTTAATAGACTCAGAATCAATAAGTAGTTAACATGTGGTTTTAAAATAATTACAAATTTTGGAATTTTTTTTTGAACCGGAACTAGTTACACCGAACGAAACCGCATTTTAAAAATAATAAATTGTCAATCATGCAAAACTAATCACACAACCATGAATGTATCATCCCAAGTACATCAAATCTTCGACTAAAGAAATTTGTCCCAAGTGCATCTACATTTGTTTACAGAACTTATAAAAGTTCACCATAAATATGGATTTATAACTTCTAATTTAATTGATAATTATTCCTAAATATGAATGTCCTAATTTTCTAAATTACATGTTCTAGGTGCTCTTTCTATAAGAAGCAACATGGCTTTCCATAATACTCAAGTGAACATTAAATTACTAATGTGTCGTATGCATGTACATGAAGTTACTAAAAACTATGAAGAAACTTAAAATTGACATTTGTTGGTTTAATTGATCCGAGACAATCAGTTAAAAGTTTACTAAAGATATAATCGTAAATCGTAATTTGTTATTGAGGTATAGCATAATAAAAAACAATATATCACGCATATTTTAATAGAATCAATATCAAACCTCAAATTTAGAGTTACTGTTTGAAAGTGGGATATGAAGAAGAAGAAGTCGTTAAAGCAACAACACCAGAGGAAACCGGCTAAAGAAGTGTTATCGACCAAAAAAACATTGTCGAAGGAGGAAGAAGCATTTCCCGCTAAAGAAGCAGCACCATGGGATGTGGGTCATGCATGTTTGGAGTATGCAATCATGGGGTTTTCGTTTCTTAATGGGAAATTATCCGTACATAATCTTTTTTAGCCATACAAAAAAATTATGTTTCATACAGTTGTACAATACAATCATCTAAAATATTATGTAACGACCCAAAAATTCGAGACTAAAAATTTCTTTTATTAAACATTACTTAAACATAATTATCAATCGATATCATAACCAGAGTATTAATTTCCAAAACACATGTTCATTATCAGATTAAAACATTCACAGACTGTCTAATATATGGTGTGTGTCATGCGATCACCCCAAGCTCTTCCCTCCACTACCGGAAGTATCTGAAACCAAAACTGAAAACCGTAAGCACGAAGCTTAGTGAGTTCCTCACCCTACCACATACCATGCATAACCACATACTGCACATATTGGGCCACGCCCGCTATTTTGGACCTAGCCCTGTCGAAAATACCCGATACCCGAATTACCCGTTCGATTTTTTCAGGTATCGGGTAAATTTTTCCGGGTAATCGAGTTACCCGATTTATTTTCGGGTCGGGTAAATTTTTTGGGTTTCGGGTATACCCGAATTACCCAAATTATTTTAAAAATTCCTTTTTTTTGTAGAGCTTGTACTATATAGCAGGTATTTGATCATGCTTAAACTAACTATCATTATTGTAAAACATAAATATATTTATTATGACAATACGACACTAACAATATTAAAAGCAATTTTTATATATCATCACGTTCTTTAAAACTTAACTGTTTTCTATATTATAGTTTTTATTGCAACTAACAAACTCATTATCCTGACAAAACTTCAGAACATGGCAAAACTTATGGCTACATTTATCTTAAATATTTTAAACTTTTAAATTAAGATCTTTAGGTGTTTGTTTTTTTAACATCTTATTAGATTAGATTAAGTTGTTAAAAAATTACTTGATATCTCATGTATTATTGACTATAAAATCTCAATGTTCAAAGCTTGAGTAACTTCGTTTATGTCTCGTTTGTTTATATAAACAAGACTAATAAAGCACGACGTATTTATTTCATTAAATTTATTTTCAGGTGAAATTCAAAAAAAGAATTATATATATCGGGTAATACCCGAATTACCCAAACCCGACCCGATACCCGAATTACCCGAATTTAGTTTGGGTAGGGTAACGGGTAATTTTTCTAACATGAAAAACCCGAATTACCCGAAAACCTGAAAAAATTACCCGTTCAACACCCCTACCTGGCTTCGAGCCCCGCTAGGATACAGATCTTTCTAACTTAGGTCACGCCTGTCACTGGGCCCCGCCCGCTAACATATAATAGCACATAAGCATATAAGAACACATAAGTTAACATATACTCACAAATCCTATCCTGAGGCCTCGCCTATCTTGGGCCTCGCCCTTGTCCTGCTACTGATGAGTCATGGAACCCCGTCCACGCCCTTACTGATAGTGAGATACGAGCCTAGCCCACACTCACTCTTTCCTTAACTTGGGCCTCGCCCCTGTTCTGCTGCTAATGAGATGTGGAACACCATCCACACTCTACTATCCGTGAGATACGAGATCTCACCCACACTCACCTCCCTACCAGGCACATACATGTATCACACAGACAACAAGTATAAACTAAAATATAAACCATTCCTTGGGCACCCGCCCGCTATCATTGGACCTCGTCCTAAATATTATACTAGCATACTGAGCCTAGGGCTAACCCCCGGGTCTTCCTACTTGTATCTATATGGGCCGGTATTGTGGCCTTAGACCCATTCACACAAAGGTAAACTCACCTTGCAAGCTGCAGACTGAAAAGATGAGATCACACTGCTCCAACCTCCGACACGAACTCCACCCCTGATAATACCAAAAGACTGAACCTAATAAATACCAATAATTACCAAAATGCCCTTGGAAGTCAATTGATCAACTCTTGGTCAAAGTCAAAGTCCTCAGACGAAGTCAAACTTCCTGACTGACCCTACTCGCCGAGTCAGCCCGCTGACTCGCTGAGTCCCTCAACTCTGAAAAATCCCATCTCAACTCACTGAGTCGTCCCTTGACTCACCGATTCTCAGCTTAACTAGAAAAGGCTAGGACCTCAAGACCAGACTCGCCGAGTCCAAGAACAGATTCGCCGAGTCCAAGGCTATCTTCAACCAACTCGCCGAGTTGTTCTTCCAACTCGCCAAGTTCCTGCCCAAATTCATCCAACTCGCCGAGTCCACCCATGTGACTCGCTGAGTTGCACCAGTTCTTAATCCATACAGTGGCTTTTCGAGCCATGCAGGGGCTCCAACTCATAGATCCCTACTCCCAAAGCTCAATCCTCACGTAAAGTTGCAAACTTTACGTATAACTAAAGAGATCAAGGCTCAAAACACTCTAGGGCTAGGTTTAGGGACAAAAGGGCTTCACCAACTACTCATCTTCTGATGCTTTATGATGTATTGGACCATCCCAACACTAGATCTGAAGTGGAAACGACATATCTAGGTCCCAAACTCAAATTGGGTCTCAAACAACCACAAAACCCCCAAATCTCATAACAAAAGTAGATCTAGATGCAAAGGAGGGAAGATAGCAGCTTATTACCTCCAAGATGAACACCAACTGAAGTGGATCCCGGATCTTTACCTCCCCTTTGAAGCAACCTTCTTGATCTTCAAGTTCCTTTCCAAAGTTTCCTTCCTCCAAAGCTATTTCTCTCAAATGATGGAAGCTCACACGAAATCTATGGTTTACAGGTTCTCTAGGATGATAAGGAGGCTGAGGGAGGGACATAACACCCATTATATAGGATACAACTCCCGGGATTAGGGTTTTCCTTGTTCGGACCAGACTCGCCGAGTCCCCATAGCCGACTCGCCGAGTCGGTCACTAATTCTTGAACCTGGATCCCGCTCGGACTCGCCGAGTTTCGCCCTGGACTCGGTGAGTTGACCCCTTTGACTTAAGGTTTTCTTTCCTTCTTGGCCTTCCAGACTTTAGGTGTTACACATTAATTGTTGTGTATGGCTAAAAAGTGTTATACAAATCACCACCTATTCGTAATCAAATACCTAGAAATTAAATGGAAGGTATATTTGTCCATAAGTGAAGTGGATAAATCATCACACATCCTTTTTTGGACCACTGTCCTAATTATACATATTTTTGCAAACTTCTAATAGATTTTTGTCGGAATCGGAAGTTGTTTGGATTTAGGTTATACGAAAATGATTGAGTTTTTAAAGTATAACTAGCACAGTCGGCATCAATACATTTTGTAAATTAAATT